ACTGTGTGCTGAAGACCTGGGGAGTATGGGGGACAGGATTGCAGGGTATACCCTTTGGTTGGTTGATGATGCATGGAGGGGATTGTAACCATGCCAATGAGACGAAATATGATAGAATGAATGTAAAATTAATGTTCTCCCATGTAAACGATCACATAATTCACAATAAAACATTTAAGAAAATAAAAAATAGTAATGCTATGAAGTCGTGGTGTGGTGCTGTAAGATAAGTACTCAACCACAAGATCAGTTTGAATCTCAAGTTAGGTGGTTTAAACTCACCAGTCACTCCTCAGAAATCCTATACAGGCTCACTTTGAGTCCAGACGGATTCGATGGCACTTAACAGCAAGAAGTAATGCTATAGAGTCCTGATGTGGTGCTGCAGGATAATGCACTGGACTGCAAGGTTGGCTTGAACCTCAATGTTGGTGGTTCAAACTCACCAGACAGTCCTCGGGAAACCTTTACAGGGTCTCTATAAGTCGGAACCAACTCCATGGCACTTAACAACAAATGCAACAATGCTTTAGAAGCATTGGACTGCTAAACCCTTAATGTTGTTGTTGTTGTCAGGTGCCATTGAATTGGAACTGACTCATAGAGACCCCATGCAAGGATACCAAAGAGATTGTCCGAGGATTTCCGCATTCTGTTGGGTCACCTCTCTTTGGAATGGGCACAAATACAAATCTCTCCTAATCAGTTGGCCAGACAGACAGTTTTCTTCCAAATTTATTGGCATAGATGAGTGAAGTGCCTCCAGTGCCACCTCACTTTTTTGAAAGGTTTCTATTTTTATTCCATCAATTCCTGGTGCCTTGTTCTTTGCCAATTCCTTCAATGTGCCTTAGACTTCTTTCTTCAGTATCATTGGCTCTCGATCATATGCTACATCTTGAAATGGTTGAACATTAGCCGTTTCCTCTTGGTGCAGTTACTCTGTGTATTTCTTCAATCTTCCTTTTATGCTTTTATGCATCATTCAATAATTTGCCCAGAGAATCCTTCAATAACGAAATTGAGGTTTGAGTTTTTATTTCAGTTCCCCCAGCTTGAGAAATGCTGAGCATGTTCTTCCTTTTTTGGTTTTCTGACTCTAGATATTGGCACATTTTATTGTAATATTTAACTTTGTCTTCTCAAGCTGACCTTTGGAAATTTCTGTTCAGCTCTTTTGCCTCCTCATTTATTTCATTTGCTTTAGCATCTCTACACTGGAGATCAAGTTTCAGTCTCTTCTGACATCCATTTTTTTTGACCTTTTCCTTTTTTCTCGTCTTCTTAATGACATTTTGCTTTTTTCATTTATGATGTTCTTGATGTCATCCTACAACTCTTCTGGTCTTTGGGCTTTAGTGTTTAGTGTATCATATCTTTCTTCAGATGATCTCTAAATTCAGGTGGAATATATTCAAGGTCATATTTTGGCTCTCATGGACTGGTTTTCATTTTCTTCAGCTTCAGTTTGGTTTTGCATATGAGTAATTGATGTTCTGTTCCACAGACTGCCCCTGGCCTTGTTTTGACTGATGACATAGAGCTTTTCCGTGGTCTCTTTCCGCAGAGGTAGTCAAGTTGATATCTGTGTATTGCATCTGGTGAGATCCATGTGTATAATCATCTCTTACACTGTCTAAAGAAGGTATTTGAAACAAACAAATAATTGATTTTGCAGAATTTTATCATGTGATCTCCAGCATCATTTCTATCTCTAAGGCCATATTTTCTAAATACTGATCCTTCCTCTTTGTTCCCAACCTTGCATTTTCACCAGTAATGATCAATACATCTTGATTGCATGTTTGATCAATTTCAGATTTTAGAAGTTGGTAGAATTCTTCTATTTCACCCTCACTGGCTTTAGTGGTTGGTGCGTAAATGTGAATAATAGTGGTATTGACTGATCTTCTCTGTGTTGTTGTTGTTGTTATGTGCCATGGAGTGGATCCCGACTCATAGCACCCCTGTGTAGGGTTTCCGAGGCTATAAATCTTTACGGGAGCAGAAAGCCTCATCTTTCTCCAGCGGAACAGCTGGTAGTTTTGAACTGCTGACTTTGCGATTCACAGCCTGTTTTGTAACTACTACACTACCAGAGCTCGTTGGTCTTCCCTGTAGTCGCATGGATATTATCCTATCAGAGACAGCGTTGTCCCTTCTGTACTAATAATGTACAGAAGAAAGTCTGTTCTCACCAAGCCAAAATTCCTTCTCTACAGCTTCTCTCCATTAGTTTTAAAATTACTCTTAGTGGCCACACAACACAAATCACATTCTCCCCTCATGGTAGTTCATGTTGAACTTGTCCTTTCTGACTTCTCTCTTCTTCACACCAAAATTTCCAATGCTTTTAGTTTTTTATCTTAAGACATAGGTTTGAAGTTTTCAGCTTCCCTTCATTGCGCATTTCTGTTTGCCAATGGCTGATGAAGTATGCCACCAGGGCCAACCTCAGCATTCCTGATATGACAGAGGATAATCTTGTTCTATGTTCTTTATTTCTCTTAATTTAACTCTGTACTTGGAAGCCTCTATATGTATATTACACTGTTGGTTTCCACTTCTTGAACTGTCACTCAACACTCAGTTTTAATTACACAAGCTTTCCATTCTATCTAATTGTGTTTCAATATTTTTTGTTTGTTTGTTTTTTAGTGGCCTCAAGTAGAGTACCTTAGATTTACCCTAAATATGGTGGATGGATCCAAACTTCCCTCTCCCCACTTCTTTTCTCCTTTCTCCCTCCTATGCTTTTTTTCTTTCTTCCTTCCTTCCCATTTTCCTCTTGTGTTTTTGAGTCAGTTCTGGTTCATAGTGACTTAGTATAGGGTTTCTGAGGAGCATCTATTGGATAGGCTGAGGAGCTAAACTTGTGGTTAACCATCAGTCCTTATCCTACAGCACCACACCAGGACTCAATATTTTCCTCATGGTGGTGGTGGTGATTGTATGCCATCGAGTTGATTCTGATTCATATAGGGTTTCCAAGGCTATAAATCTTTACCGGAGCAAAAAGTCTCATCTTTTTCCCATGGAGTGACTGGAGGATCCAAACTACTGACCTTGAGGTTAGCAGCTCAGCTCATAATCCACTAATCTACCAGGGCTCCTTTCATCCTCGTGTTGTTGTTGTTAAGTGCCATTGAGTCTGTTCTGACCCATAGCGACCCTGTATAGGGTTTCCGAGGAGCAACTGGTGAGTTCGAACCACTGACCTTGCAATACAAATGGCTTTGTAGTCTGGCACATTAACCCACAGCGCCACACCAGAATTCCTTTATCCTCATAGTGGCAATCAATTGATATCGACTCATCTTTTGATAAGAGAGCTCATCTGTTTCCCATCATTCCATGTAATGGACTATATGTGAAATATAAACAGTTTTGTATGCTTAGAAAAGTGGCTGTTTAGGAATTGGAGCCTGCACTGATAATCTTGGCACATCACAGAACTTTGAGGAGAAAACTGAGCCCAGAAAGAAAGGGTGAAGATCCAGGGTTTCTCTGTGAGGTAGTGAAATCACTGGAATTCAAATCCAGGTTCCAGGCTCTTCATCTGTAAGGGAGGACTTCTTAACCCACGTTTATAACTGTCTTCCCTGATGTCAGCTCGGTGATTCTGCAGCAACATGTGATTAAACCTTATTTGTCTCAACCTTGCATTTTACTCATTACCTTTTACACTACAATGACACACCTACTTAATATTTCAGAAGGAATTCTAGTGTGGCACTGTAGGATAAACATTTAATCACAAGGTCAGTGGTTCAAACCCACCAACTGCTTCTTGAAAACCCTAAATATGGTCACTATGAATTGGAACCAACTTGATGGAACTTAACAATAACAACAAAATCTTTTAGAAAGAAATCCTATTGGCACTATATACCTTGGTGGGAAAGAGTTCCCATGTGAGAGATGGATTTGATGGCTGGGATAACACATCAGAACCATAAAATGTAGGGGAGTCACTGGTAGGACCCAGAAAGACTAGGAATACCAAAGGTCTTCTATGTATCTTTTCACTTTGAGCTGGGCCAAGACTGACTCTGAGAGAGGAGGCATGGGTCTTACCCTTTTGCTCTATTTGCTCACAGGCATGGCCCCAGGTACCCTGGGGGCACTGACACCTGCAGTTGGTGCCCTTGAGGATGGGCTTCCCATTGTTGAAGCAGGGTCCACAGCGGCAGGCATTAAACTCTAGCAGGTACTGATCCAATGCACGGTGCATATTCTGACGTTTTGCCTCCAAGGAACCCAGGTTTGTGTGCCGAAGCAACTCATGGATGGGCTGCATCTGTGGACACAAAAGAACACGTGAGCCTTCCCTAACCTTTGTGCTCCTTCCTAGAGCCCAAGAGCTGGCCATAAACCTTCTTGAAGGTCTGCTAGTACCAGACACAAAGTCAGACACCAGCTTACTATGCTACAACAATCCTCACGGCACCTTCATAAAATAACGAGCATTAAAGGAGATGATAGGGAAAAGGGTCCCTAGGTGGTGCATGTTCAACTGCTAACCGAAGAGTTGAAGATTCAACTCCACTCACAGGTGCTTCTGAATAGTACCTACTTTCGAGAATTCTTATGAGGACTGAAAAAAGTAATGAGTGTGAAATACACAAATGTAAGATACCATTGCAAAAGCGGAGAACTCTACAAAATAAAGTATCCATTTTGCTAGTTAGACTGATGGAGTGAAAACAATGAAAGCTCGTGCTTTTCAAATTTTAATGACATTTAGTTCTCTTCAGCACACGCAAGATTTCTGTACTAAAATGAAAGATCTTCTCCAGGTCTCCTGAAGAGGAACCTGAGACTCCGTGACAAGGAATGATTTGGTAAGTTCGCAGAGCAAGTCAGTTCTAGAATTGAGCCACATCGGGGAAATTCCACTTCTCTGGAAGCCAATCAACAGAGGATTCCCACATGGCCTTGATTGGGTTCCTGGAAATGTATACAGAAGAACTGTGGCAATCAGACCCTGGACTGTACTCAAGGGTTGAAGCTGAGGTTATCAGGCTGATTACGTCAGTACTGTCCAGGCGCCATCCAAGGGGAGAAGCTGACTTACTGGAAGCTCAGGGAGTTTAGTCTCCAGTGGTGGGAATTCAGTGTAGAAAGGGTTGCTCTGGGTCCCTGCGTAAAGACGACTCTTACTTCTACAGAGGGCGAAGACTATTGAGCAATTTCCCTTAACATTCCAGTTAAGAGGATCAACACTCAGTGCCCATGTCTCACTTCTGCCTCCCAGAATCCTCAGGAAGAGGAAAAAGAACATTCCTTGAAGAGGGCTGCTGGGGAGTTGGGGGTGGGGGGTGAGGGGCGAGGTAAAGAAAAAAGAATCTTAGAACGTTAAAACTTGAAGAGATATTGGCAGTTGCTGTGTCAAAATTTTACAGATGAGGAAATAGATTCAAAGAAGACAACTGACATGATTAAAAAAAAAATGACGTAGCAAACATAACCTATCATAGCATCATAGCATAAGTCATTGCATAACATAATAAGAGACCAGAAAAACATTACATAGCACATAGCACTACATAACTTATCACATGTCATAACTCTGAAAGCCATATAATATAAAATGACATAATACAACATTACAGACATAAAACATATTATAACAACAGATTATATGGTTCCTAAGTGCCTTCAACATAGGTTCCTGCTATATAAAAACAATACTAGCTCTAAGTGGAGGGTAAGTGAAAAAGAGGGAGTCTTGACAACATGGATTGACACAGTGGCAGCACCAATGGGCTCAAACATAACAATTGTGAGAAGAGCACAAGGTCAGGCAGTGTTTTGTTCTGTTGTGCACAGGGTCACTATGAGTCAGAATGGACTCCATTAACAACAAACGTTAGGGATTACAAGTGCATAAGATACTGTTTCCCTCTGAACATCAGGTTCCAAATAAGTCAATAACAGGTCTCCTCCCATTCATCCTTCATATCCTGGGAGCATCTTCTTTTTAAAACACAGCTCTAGCTGTGTCACTTCCCAGCTCTATAGCCTGCCAGTGGCTTGATGTTTGAAATCCAAACTTATCAGAGGGCAATATGGTTATAAAGAGATCAGTCAGATAGGAACCAAATTCCGCTTTGTCATTTGCTGGTTAAGATCTTGGGCAGGTTACTCAGCCTCTATGAAACTGTTGCCTCAACTAACATTGACTCTTCTCTCCCCAACTTTGTGAACTAAAGTACCATCAACACCAAGTTATAGAGTAGGAAACTGAGGCTCAGAGAATGTAACAACTTGTCCAAAGTCAAATACCAAAACTGTGTTTGAGCCATGAAGCAAACTATGTCTTTCTCACCCCAAAGCCCAAATTCTTTTTTCCCCCAAAAGATAGTATTCAGTCTTTTCTAAATCGTGAATCTTAATTTTCCCCTTGGAAGTTTTGTTGAAGACAAACATAAAGTTCACTCCTTGTGTATGAAAGTTTATCTATTTCTCCTGGTATCAATTTTACCATTTTTGCCCCAATCACTAATAGCTTGATGATAGAATTACAGGTGTGTCAAAATGTTCCCTTGCTTATTAGAGAAGAAATGAAATCAAGGTTAACCCATCTGACTTTTTTCTTAGTAGAAAAAAGGTTGTTGATATAATACATTTATAGATGTAGCTGATGGTCTATGTCTTCAGAGAAGAAATGTTATCTAAATACCTGGAATTTTGAATATCTACAGAAAAAAAATGGACAAGGGTAGGACAAAAAATGGGCATGAGCACAATGACACTTTGATTAAAAATCCAAAATCCAACTTAAAAAAAATTAAATGAACTATCCCACATACTGATAGAAGGAGTTTAATAACTGGTAGAACAATGCACTTCCTTTGCAGTCTGAATACAATTTTATTACCTCTGTGAGGTCAGCAATGTAAGGCAGGGTTTGTCATCCTTGGCACTATTAACACTTGGAACCAGATAATCCCTTGATATGGGCACCTGTCCTGTGCATTACAAGATAGTTATAGCATCTCTAGCCTGTACCCACAATTTGCTAAAATATTTCCAGACATTGCCAAATGTTCCCCTTGGAGGCAAAACCTCTTGGTTGAGAGTCACTAATTTAAGGAAGGTGCTAGTCTAGAAGAAAGTCTGAAATTCACACACTGTCTGTCACATGAGAATTGTTGTTTGTATGCTACAGTGTTAGTTCCAACTCATAATGACCATGTATAGGGTTTCCCAATACTGTAAATATTTATGGGAATAGAAAACCTAATCTTCCTCCCAAGGAATGGCTGATGAATTTCAACTGCTAATTTTGCAGTTAGCCCCCAACACATACCCTACTCTGCCACCAGTGCTTCTGTGCATGAGAACTGGGAAACTTTTAACAAGCCCCTCAACCTCTCAGATCCACAGTTTCCTAGTCTTTTCAATAGAGAGAATAAAGTCTGAGCCACAGATACATTATAATGACCACATATGATCATTTTTAGCAAAGGCAGCAAATCATGGTCTGGGGCCGAAACTACTCCATAACTTGCTTAGTCTGGCCTATGAAATAAGAATGGTTTTTACATTTAAAAAAATAAGAAGAATGTGTGACAGAAACTGTATGTGACCCACACAGTTTTAAATATTTGTCGTTTGGCTTTGTACAGAAATACTTTGCTGACCTTTGATTTAATAGATGAGATTTTTCAAGTGCAGGTAAATTAACATCGCTCATTTGGCCATTGTGTGGCCATATATATGTCCCTGGTCCCATTAGGGTTTTTGGCTTTTGTTTTTTAAGGGAAAACAGCTCTCCTTTGATTTATTATGGAGTCCTGGTGTGACATGGTAGGATAAGCCCTAGACTGCTAACCACAAAATTGGTGGTTCAAACCCACTAACTGCTCCTCCAAAACCCAGTACAGGGTCACTGTGAGTCAAAACTAACTTAACAACAATGGTTTGAAAGACCTAGACTTTAGCAGTGTTGGGTCATGGGTAGGTTACAGGCAGGTAAGGCAGAAGACATGATGTGGGGTTTGGGTGGTTAGGTTCACGAGGCTGGGCGTATTCTGCTTCCCCACTGCTTACTTCCTTGCCATCCAATCTGTTGCTGCTGCTGCTACTACTACCCTTGTTTAATCCAGTATGTGCAAAATGTCTAATTTACATAACATCCTACTTCACAGAACGCATTGTGGACGTTAAACAATGAATAGTCATATAAAAATCTTTTTATATGCTTATATAATAAAATTTTAAAGTATATACATCTTTTAAATGCATATAAATGCAAAATGCAAATTATTAATGTGACTTTCCCCTGAAGAAATCCTGAACTACCAGTATAAAACTAGCCACTGACCTGCTATTAAGTTTCTGATCCCAGCTCCCCTATGGCTTGGGTCAAAAGTCATACACTTCCCTACAGTCAGGCATGAGGAAGACCACAGGTTCAGTGTCCCGTTACATTTAATCTTGTTCTTTGATGGGCTCAAAATAAGAAATATGAAATGATCTGGTCTGCTTCACTTTCATTCCTCATGGACATGGAGTTTCTTCAACTGCGAAAAGACTTACCTCAAAATCGATAACAATAGGATTATACTTTAATGACCTCCCCCAGGAACGGTATGCAATGATGCTCTGGTTTTGTGCCAAGCCACCACCCCAGCCAGAATTGCCACCTTGGACCCGAGAAATAATGTTTTCCACAGCCATGCTCTTCTTGTTGATGCCTGCCATCAAAAAGATAAGTGTGCATTAGCTCATTTCCCAAAAAGTCAAAGGGCTGGTTCCCAAGTTCACTTGATAGGAATTGAAACAAGTCTGTATGCCCTCCTCAGAGCTGCTTCCTCTTCTTCTACCTTGCTTGGTTATCTAACAGCACAAATCAGAAGAGAGGGAGCAAGATTTAGAAATAGACCCATCCTCTGGAACAGACCCTACTAGGATATCCTATCCATTAGAAGGCATATGGTATCTGGAGAGGATGGGATTGTGTATGCCATTCATTCATTCATTCATTCATTCATTCATTCATTCATTTATATCTCATATGCTGACTCAGTACCAGGTCAACACCAGACAGATTCAGTTGCGTATTATAGATACTATGACAGATAACTCTATGAGGCTCTGCAGGGGCACTGAGAAAGAAGTGCTCAGCTATACAACAGCAATAGCTATCTAGAGAGGTATGTGGGTGTCTGAAATGTAAATGCAGAGAAGAAAGAGGCCATTATGAGAAAGAAGAAGCATTTGGATTGAAAGCAATGTCATAAATGTTGTTGTTATTAAGTGTCATTAAGTTGGTTCCAACTCATAGTGACCTATATATGGTTTCTGAGGAGTGGCTGGAGGGTTAGCAGTCCTGTGCTTATCCTACAGCTCTGCACCAGGACTCCTAAGTTAACAGTAGCCTAATACAATTGTTGTTAAGTGCCATTGAGTCAGTTTTGACTCATAGCAACCCAGTATAGGGTTTCTTAGTGGTGACTGGTGGGTTTTAACTTCTAATTTTTCAGTGCAGCCCAGTGTTTATCCTACAATGCCACACCAGGACTCCAGTCTAATGCAGTAAGAATAGTTTGTAACATTATTACCTATCACACCTACTTTACTAAAATCTTATCCCTTTTGCACCCTCTTTGTGTCTCACCTGAAAACAAATATTCAAGGAATTGATGAATGAATAAATGAAAACATAAGATTGAACTTGTTCAGGAAATGCCACAAAACATTCTTGCAAATACCTTCTCTAACAATATTCTTTGAACTTGGACTTAGATAACCATATTATCTTTTCTCAGTGGATCTCTTTCCTCCACCTGGACTGCAACCTGCTGACCTTTCTTTTCGACGGCCCACTTCCCAGGTTCCTTCTACATATTCCTTTCACTGTAGTTCTTATTTGGATCTTTGCCTAGTGCTTGAGATATAAGAGAGTGTCTCATATAAAGTCAAATATTTCTAAAATGATTTCAGTTCATGCTGGATTCAAAATGAACAATTGATTTGGGGATAACGAATAGATATGCAATATAACCATTAATTGAAATGGAATCAATTGGGATGTGTGGGGGGAAAAAAGTAGCTCCCACTTTCTGATTGTGGATCCATGGGAAATTTTGGCTTCTTTTTTTTTTTAAGGGGACCCATTGCTGAAGACTTGCCAGTTTCACCGCTTCCAAATCTTTGACAATTGTCTCCTGATAAAACTCCCGCAACTTTTATCTTATTTGTAAATGTATATCCAAAGCCCACGGAGCCTCCAAAGCATTTCTTGACGTCGTGGCTGGTAATGCCTGAAGTAGATAGAGATAAACAAAAGGCCAAGATGTTAAAAGACAATCATCACACAACTAGATCTGCAATGAAACACCCAGCCCTCACCCAACTTCACTTTGCTTGTTTGTTTGTTTGTTTAATGGTGCCAACCCAAACCTTTCTTGAAATGAGGGGGATTAGGTATTGCATATATTGTAGTTGTTGTTAAGTGCATGGGTCGATTCCGACCCATAATGACCCTGTATAGGGTTTCCAAGGAGAAGCTGGTGAGCTTGAACCGCCGACCTTGCAGTTCAAACGACTTAACAGTCCGACGCATTAGCCTACAGCGCCACACCAGGACTCCATTGCATATATTAGATACTCAAAATGCTAGTTCCCTTTCTCCCTGTCCATTTTCCACTTAATATCCTTGAGTAATTATATCTCATTCACCTCTTTGTACCCATCTGCCTGGCCCATGGTAGGTCTGTTACTATCCCAGTTTTCTCCCTTCTTTGACCATCTTTCCAAAGCCTATTTATTCTTCGGGCTGTGAACCGCAAGGTCAGCAGTTCGAAACTACCAGCTGCTCCGCGGGAGAAAGACAAGGCGTTCTGCTCCTGTAAAGATTAACAGCCTCGGAAACCCTGTGCAGGGTCGTGATGAGTCGCAATCGACTCCACGGCACATAACAACAACAACAACAACATTTATTCTTCACGTTCCAGTTCAAAGTCATTCCCTCCATGAAGCATTTCTCCAAAGCGACCAATGTGCTTTGTTTGTGTCTGAATTATCAGATAAGTTATAATTATTTTTTGTCCAGGCCTCTTTGTTTCCCCCAGAGACTAGAATTCTGGTAGAATGTGGAGGGTCTGCCTACTCTTCTGACCCCACAAGGACTGCCAGTCCCACATGGGCTGTCTCTGCATATGTCCATATCTGAGGACCTGGTGAAGAACCTGCATGTTACAGACGAGAAAAATAATGCTCAAAACCATCAAGTCAGTATTCGCTGATCACACAGCCCATAAATAGACCAAGCTGGGTTTCCAGCCTTAGGTCTGCCTGGCAAAGTGAGGCTGGAAAAGTAGACCATAGTAAAGTATTGACAATGCTACAGAATTCTCTTTTACTGCAAAAGCAGTTTCTTAGATTATAAACTCAGTATGATGATCTAAGTTTTATTTTGAAACATCATTACTTCTAACTACAATTATAAAAAATAACTATCATTAGTCATAGTGATATGCTGACAACCACAAAGGAAAAATAATTCAATTAAGATAAAAATGAGATTTATTTTGTTCAAGGTGGTATGGAACATCAATAGTTACTACATTAAACTTCAAACTCTGTGAGGTTAAGAGTTTGTGTATTATTCACCACTCTGCTGCTAGCATAGCAGCCCATTCATTGCCTGGCAGAAAGTAGAAATTCAGTAAGTGTTTTTAGATTACATTACTGGTGGGGGTGAAAAAAACAAAAGATGAATAAATGAATGCTGTGAGTTCTTTGGGTTCCCTGGGTGATTTAGTTAACATACTTGGCTACTAACAGAAAGGCTAGAGGTTCAAGTCTAACCAGAGGCACCTCAGAAGAAAAGCCACCCACTGATAACCCTATTGAGTTCAGTTCTACTCTGACACATATATAACTCTGAAAACCATATAAAACAAAATGGTTTTTTTTTTTGTATTATATAAGATTGTCATGAATTCCAGTCAACTACTTGCTGACAACTGTCTCTGATTTCTTTGGTGAAGAGTCTTTTTGAAGAATCTTAGTAGTAGGGAACTCTGAATTCAAATGAAAGTTGTTGAGTCCCTGAATGAACTGGGACAAGTCTCATGACTCCACTGGGCCTCAGTGTCTCCAATTATAGAAGAGGGCATTGGAGTTGTTTCATCTCTCAGGACTCTGTGACTCTATGAATATCTGTTTCTGAATAAGCCCTGAGCTGCACATGCCTGCAGGAAATTATGCTCTAAGCACCAGCTCTTAGTACCAAGCTAAGGGCTTCATCTGCCTATTTCCACTCAAGCACTTTTAATTCTTAATGCATTACTAATTGAGGAAGATTTAGCATATTTAATTGTTTTGATTAAAAAATGCTTCAACAGGGATAAACAAAAGTAGATGAAAGGAATTCATGGGCAGAAGTAAAAGAGTGATTACTGAGGTGAGTGGTGGAGTGCTGTCGAATTAAAATGACAGGACTGACTGATGAATGGGGGATGGAGGATGCCTGCGCAGTGATTATTTGTTCATGAGGGGTCTGCTGACAGCCTGCAATGTGCTGTTGGGAACAGAGAATTTCAGCTTGATTGGAGAAGTATGACATGACTGAAAAAAAAAGTGCCTTCTGAGTGCCCCAGATCATGTATCCAGCAAGCAAGAGGGGTCCTGTGAACTTATAAGATAGCTAAAAGTGTCCTTACATAGGAGAGGGCCTTCAAAGCGTTCATGGGGAAAAAATGGAATTAAAAGATAATGGAACAACAAGGAATCTGAAAGCCACCGCATAACATGGATGAACCTTGAGGACATTATGCTGAGTGAAATTAGTCCATCACAAAAGGAGAAATACTGCATAGGACCATTATTGTAAAAGACTAAGAAAAAGAACCTACCTAAAAGGGGGAAAAATTATATGTATATTTGCTGATCACTGGGATGTATAGGATGAGGGGAGAGGAAGGAGGGAGGGGAAGATAGAGCACAAGGTAAGGAATAAACACAGGATAACTTGGGTGCTGGGGGTGGGGTGGGTGGGAGGAGCAATACACAAGAAGGGGGATGAGGATGGAAGAACAAGGTGGATGGGAGAACAGTTAGGCAGGTTCACATGGGCTAAGTGGGCAGATGTAAATGATGTATGCGCAACCTTGGAACAACAGGGCTCCTGGATACAGGGATTGAGGCATGGTTTGAATGGGTAAAAGAGGGAAACAATGTTAAGATGCTTGACTGTCTTCTGAATCTTGGTTTCCCTTCTCTACCATTGTAAAATAGACACTTGAAGGGGGGAGAAAGGATAGCCAGAAGCATCACAATAGAATGCTTATAAGTCTGTCTTCAGTCTATAAAGGATTGGAATACCTTAAAGGGGGCTAGAAATTGCCCAGTGAAAGAGGCTTACTGTAGAGCCTTTGCATTGCATAACACTATAGGTGGAATCCTGAACCCCATCCAGAATCGTCTGAGGTGGAAAATTTCCACTTGAAAGGACAAGTAGACCAGCCTGGAGCGGCTAGAAGAACAGAAGATACTTCATGAAAGACCGGCAAGAAAAATCAGAAACAATAAAGGCAGTCTGATTGATTACTATAAGAACAAGTAAGCTGTTCACCCGGGAGCCATCAAGGCAAGTGGTTGGGTCCTCTCAGAGCAAACTCCCTTCTAAGACTAAAGACTCAAGGGGAATACATGAGCAGGCACATGGTCTGGCTGGTGACCACGTTGGTCACTGATAACGGGAAGAGGGGTAAAAACAGCAATGAAGTTGGGAGCTAAGTCTGACCACATTCAATAGATTCCTGTGGACCTGGGTGAAGACCTAGATGGCCAGCAGTACAGCAAGACCTGGGACTCCGGGGCCCAGAAGCAGTGACATGGCCACAGAGAACTAGAGTGGAGAGTGAAGCATCCAGCTGATATGAAGTGAGGGGAGATGCACAAGAACACTCATACATGAAGATAGTACCTACTTGACCTGGCTTCAATGGCTGGATGATCAGAACTCTACTAGAAAAAGAAAGAAGAGGTGTGGGGGAGGGGGCGCAGAGTAACCCGCTACAATTTGATGAACATTACCTATACTTATGGATGTAGTATCTCAAAAAAAGGGAACAAATCTTTAGAGCAAGGATCACTCCCACCCCCACAGTACACAGGATTGACAAAGATGGGCAACTTAGACATTGGCTACCCAAAATGGGGGCACTATAAAGGCAAGAAGTGACTGGCTTACAAGGTTTCAAGAGGGATCCTAGTTCCAGACAGGGCAGGGAAACCACTGAATGGTTTCCAATCTGTTGGGACTGGGCTGGTGAAAGGAAATGGGGATAAGACTCTTTTGGCACAATAGTGAATAATTGCCATCAGGACTGACTGTAAGGGTCAGAAATGTAGAGGTAGATGTGTTTTGACAAAAGGAGGGGAGTGATTGATTTTGCAGCCCAAGAATGGCGCTTCCCTGGGACCATCAAGTGAGAAGAGTCGAGTGTGGGACCCTACTCAGAGAAGCAGTGACGCCAGAAATTAGGTCAAAGACTATGAAGTGGAGAGATGAAGCAGCTGCGGACTCTGGACTCAGGGAAGGAGAAGGACTGTGTGCTGACAGCCAGGGGTGGCGGGTGCTGTGGGGTGTACCCTTTGGTTATTTGATGATGCATGGAGGGGATTGTAATCATAGCAATGAAATGAAATACGATAGGATGAATGTAAAACTGATGTTCTCCCATGTAAACCCAGATAATTCACGATAAAAACTTAAAAAAAAAACATGGAATTTTTTTTCCATGAACTTTTTGAATCCCCCTTATACCTAGTCCATACTTTTCATGTATAACTGAGATGCTCAAGGTTCATAAAGGTCCCTTATCTTGCCTACGACCATACTGCTAAACAATGATGGAACTGGATTCAAATTTGAATCAAAACTATTTTGTTCAGAAGCTAGTGGCCTGTGAGTCAGTCCTGACTTATGGCGACACTGAATCTTAAGGTCAGCAGTTTGAAACTATCAACTGTTCAGCAGGAGAAAGATGAGGCTTTTTGCTCCTGTGAAGATTTATAGCCTTGGAAACCCTGTACAAGGGTCACTATGAATCGGAACCAACTCCACGGCATGTAACAACAACAACTACATGTGTGTCAGAGTAGAACTGTGCTCCATAAGGTTTTCAGTGGCTGATTTTAAGATTGTATGCAGATTGCCAGACCTTTCTCCCAAGGCACATCTGGGGTGGATGCAAATCTCCAATTTTTTTTCAGTTAGCTGCTGAGTGCATTAACTGTTTGTATCACTCAT